TGTGATGTTCTTTTGTGATCCCGAGGAAGCTCAGAGCCACATGCAAATTATTCTGAATTTTAGTGCTGAGCTCCAAATCACCAGTGAATTCAGTGGCTGGGTGAAAATTTCAATCCAGGTCAATTTGCTCCTCGTCTAATACCCTAAAACATGCACCCCACTGGGTGTACCCCGTAGAGTGTCTCTAAAAGCTGCTGCTGAGTGAGAACTTTTAATGAATCTGGAGGAGAAAATTGTTAAGTACACAGAGAATAGTCCCGTTAACAACTGAGTTCCTTTGATGAGTCGGCTGTGGAAACAGGGAGGCTGTTCGTTCTTGGGGATTTCAACTTGTGCCTGGCGATGGCTCAGGAGTTCATGGACCTGTCCCAAATGATTGAAAGCCCAGTGCACACTGGGAGTCACCTTTTAGGTGTGGCTTTTGTCTTGGGGCAGCTGGGTGGAGCAGTGTTTCTCAACCTCAGCAACTTTAAGATGTGTGGACTTCAACTCCCAGAATTCCCCAACTTCCATACATCTTAAAGCATGCTGGCTGGGGAATTCTGGGACTTGAAGTCCACACATCTTAAAGGTGGTTGTTTTTTTTATAACTTTATTACATGTTGAGAAAAAACAATAAAAACGAACAAGAACTAATATTAAGAAAAAGAAGAAAAGGAAAGTTGAAAAGAGTGAAAATAGTAAAGATTAAAAGTGTGAAAAGGGAAAAGAAAGAGCAAAAAGAAAAAATTGACTTCCGGCCCTTCTCACAACAGATATAAGTAACAATATACATCCAACTCTTACTCTAAGTTTAAAAAACAACTTCCATTATTTCTATTAATCCATATTATTTCGAATCATCGAATCCATACGACAAAACTTCATTTTTTTCAGTAACTCGCAAAAAGTCCCCAGAAAGTTTCCAGATAGTATTAAAATTACACAATGTCTTGTCACGAATCAATGCTGTCAATTTCGTCAACACCATCCATGTTGTGACCGGTGGCTGGGGAATTCCAGGGGTTGAAGTCCACACATCTTAAAGTGGTTGAGAAACACTGGTGTAGAGAGTACGGAAGATGGCCTTGGTGGAGATATGCAGGAACCGTTACCTAAGCAAGAGGGGCCGAAACCTTTTTAAGTCCAGAACAATGAGATATCATTTGGAAGGGCCTCAGACAGACACCTCCCTGATTCACTGGAATATAAGAAGGGGGAGGAGGGACAGCACAATCAAGACTTGCAAGATTCTGTTATTGCAGCCCATCTCAATAAAAATAGTTTTAGCCTTCCTGTGGAGTGGAGTTTTGGGTCTGGTCTACCTAGAGGGGCTGACAGTAGACTTGCTGCTAGGGAGCAATTTCCCATTTGCCTCTTGATCAGTGTTCCTCAACCTTAGCAACTTTAAAATAGGTGGACTTCAACTCCCAGAATTCCCCAGCCAGCATGCTGGCTGGGGAACTCTGGGAGTTGAGGTCCACCTATCTTAAAGTTGCCAAGGTTGAGAAACACTGCTCTTAATAAATGAGTGTTTTGTAACCAGCCGCCTACTCAGGCAGTCTCAGAGACATGTTTTCAAAATTCCAGATGAGGCCACCACCCCACCAAATGTTGGAAACTGCTGGCTGATGATCCTGCATGATCTGCTTTTTTAACAGCATACACATTTAATGAAAAAATGTGGTTGGATACCAGACACCATAGGGCTTCCAGAAATACTACTTTATTGTTGTAAGGTATAATAAAAGCAACTTGAAAGCCTGTCCAAGTTTCTCTCTGTCTCATCTTATACGAAACAAAATCAAGGCTGGGTTCTTTCCAGTTTCTTTCTCACCCTTCCTTCTATTTTTGTACAATGTAGTCTCTCGTCCCTCCTTAACAATTTGCTCCTTCCCCAAGGTCAGCTTTAAATTCCTTTACCAACAGAGGCTTAAAACTTTTTAAAAACATTTCTTGGGGGAAAAAACACTAATGTTTAAAAAAAAGAATTCTGCAAGTCATCTTTTTACCGTGACATGGAATTGCATTCTTAGGTGTGTATCTTTTGTTTCTTCTGCACAACATCTAAAATATTAGCGCATCAAAGGACAGAATTTTAGTTTAGCTGTTTTTTAAAGCTAGTGGAGTATCCACAGGGAGAGTCAAAAAAGTCAAGATGGTGACAACCACCTGGTCAAAACCCTTCCTCTTTTTTACCTGCAATGCATGTAGAAAGGGGTGAGACTTTGACTGCACAGTCATGGTCACCATCTTGAAATGTTTAACCCACTTCCACAGATTTCCTGCTTAGTTTAGTAGTAGTAGGTGGGATCTGATGCAGAAGTTCTTGTTTCGGTCCTGGGAATTTTCAGAAGGGCTGAGAAAGGCACTACTATATCATCCCTAGGTGATACCATCTCAAGGTGTTGGAGTATAACCATTATAAACCCATCTTCTGGATCCATTGTGGGTGTGGGTGAAGGCCGGACCCAAAATGCTTGTCCCTGAGCTATCAGGACAGAGAATCTGAGCCCATGCTTGAACCACCATGAAGACACTGATGAACCAGCCAGTTGGGTTCCTTTACAATTCAGCACGTTTTGTGAATTCATAGTCAGTTCGGTTACCTATGGTTAAGCATAGCACATGAACTCAGCCATTATAAAGGAGCTTCTTATGTCCCTGAGGTGCTGGCTTGCTATGTGTAGGAAATGTTGTTTCTTGGGAGGAGTATTGAACAATGGGTGTTATCTGCTGTAGTTTGAAATAATTCAGTCAGACCGTGGTCAGTCTTCTAGGTTTGGGTGAACAAGAGTGGGCCAAACAATCTAGTATCTCCCAGATGTTTTTCCAATGTTCTGGGCCTAGTCACTATATCTGAGCTGCAGATTTCAGCAGGGGGAAGCATAGAGTCCTGACCCCCTTCCCAGAATTTCTCTCCAACCTTCCGTTTGGTTGGAAGGAGTAAGACTGTTACCAAGATAGCTTTGTAGCTCAGTGGTAACCAAAGTTGACTGTTCATGCCTGCTCCATATTCAGAAGCATCTCGGGGGTGGGGGTGGAGGGTCAGAAGTCAAGATGGTGGCCATGGCAGCCCAGTTGAAACCCCATCCTTTTTATGTCTGTAAAAAAGGAGCAAAATTTTGATCATGCAACCATCTTGACTTTTCTGACCCTCCCCCATGGAGGCCCCTGTCATTATCTTTGTCAAGGACCTTGGAACAATTTTTCTCCTGTCAACAGGCCTTGATTGTCTTCTCTCCATTCTTCCAATTTTTTTTTCTCTAAGCAGAGGACCGTCTTCTTGTGCCAGGAAGAGCTGTGATGCTGTAGCCCTCCTGATCTTACAGAGCAGCCATTTCCAGCATGATCCCTACCACCGTGCTGACCAGGGCTCCTGAGAGTTCATCTCTCCAACATCTGGAAGGCCATGGGATGAGTCCTTTATTTTGGGATTAGCACTTCCCTTCCCCAAAAGCAGGGATTCATCCTCAAAGATCAGACTCCCAAAACTCATATATAGCTTCCTAGTTGCCCTCACCTGCATTTTTATTAAATTAGTAATGGGGAACCATTGTCCTCCAAAGTTGGGACAACTCAGCCAAAATGGACTAAGCTAAAACCAATGGCCATAGCCTCCCCCCAGTCTTTCCAAAGGTTGCCACTAACTTTTTTTTAATATGGAAAATAATTAATATATAAGGATTAAATGAACACAGTTCAATAAATTAAAAAAAAATTTTTTTTTGCTAGCTCAACCCACTTCCTCCTGGCTCACTTTTGGAATAGGACTCCCAGCATTCTCAAAAGCAAATCTGGAAAAAAGTTGCGGTCTTCACAATGTTTCTCCAAAATGCAACTTGCTATTTCAGATGAATTCTACAACTTTTCTCTTAGAAAGATGCTGTGTTGGGTGGAATTCAGGGAGGTCCCAAAAGATTTGGAAGGCCAATATACAAAACAGGAGAGATGACAAATATTCTATCAGAAACGGAATTTCTTTTGTTCGGGTACTGTGGTCATAATGGGGAATACTGTGGCTCCAAGAAACCATCTTAGCTGCCAGTTGTCCTGCCCCGATGCTTGCAAATAAAAATGCAGCAATTACTTTAAAGGTTGTTCGTATTGCCTCTTTGCGAGGACTATGATCCTCAAAGATAGGATATAAAGAATGTTAACAGGAATTAAAAAGAATTTCAATCTGCAATTTTCCTTAAGTTGGCAAATATTTATGTACTTCCAAATTATATAGCATTTTTTCCTTTTGTAGTTAACTTTAAAATTTTCAGTACTTGATCACTGTGTTCAAGGGCTTTTTAAAAAGGACACAAAATTGCCCCAAAGATACACAGCTCCTTAGCAGTCTGAAACCTCACTGTAGAAGTTCAGCTCGACATGTGCTTTTGGACCCCACACCCAAACCAATTTATGGTCATGTTTCCATATTATCCCAAGTCATAGGGTGGACTTGCGCATTACGTTAAACCATTGATAGCTGGTTTGTGGCCCGGTATAACATAAACCCAGGCAGTGGTTAGTTTTAGGCTGTGGGCTAGGAGAAATAGAATTTTACAATGGTGATTTGGTTTTGATGTTGGCAGAAATCAATATGCAAATCCAGATCAAGAAAAGTAATGACAAATCCATTTGTAACCATGGCATAACAAATTCTGTCTTGGAATTGTCTGAACTCAGAATCAGTTTATTCTGTTTGCATCCTGCCAATTCTTTTGTACTTGCAGAGTAAGGATCCGTTTTGGCTCAGCACTGGATGTGAGGTACTATATCAAGCCAGCTTTAATGGGGGGTGTCACTATTTAAGCGTGAAGGTGAGGCTGTAAAGTTTGTACTGCTGGTATAAATGCTGGTTTACAAGCCACAATGACGGGCTTCCCACAACATGCCAAACAAACAGCTTTTGCATAAACCGAGTCATAACCAAATTAGGAGTACCTGACCCCCTCCCCAAACAATACCTAAGTTCGGTACGTGAAGATCCTCCCCCAACCCACCCCCAAGAACAAAAGTCAACACCGGTCTTAAATGTGTCAGTTCGGTTTTAATGTTTTTGAAAAATAAAAAGGGTTAGTCTGAGCAACTGCTGTTAAGATGGGAACGTTCATTCTCACGCTCCATGAAGTGAGCTTATTCACAGACTCATGCACAGAATTAAAGAAACAGAGAGTCTTCTTTTTCCGATCAAGGATGAAGTTTTCTGTATGATGGTGACCCAGGTGCCCCGTTGAACCCCAGGCACTTTGCCACTGCCCCCTTAGATGTAAGAATATCAGTCAACATTGAACACAACAGCTATTCCAACCTTGACATTTGTTTTATTTCACCCAACAGTTCTAACAAAGAGCCTGTGATTTTTGGCATACTTTGGATTCGACACACAGTGCCGGTTTTTCTTTTCGGAGAAGTGGTTTGGGTCAGTCTTCTTTCACACACACGCACCCCATAAGTGAGGGGAGACTGCCGTATTTCTCTTACCGCTAACCCCAGGTACAGAATGGAAAGACTGGGGCCGTATCCTCACATTTTGAACCCGGGAGTTAGAGTGCTCCTTCAATAAAGTCGTCTTGCTTCTTCGCACCACTTTGCTTTCAAAAGAGGGACCTGCTTTCCCCACCCCACCCCACCCCCAAAAAGAATGTCTAGGCTCTTTTAACTTCAAAAAGCAACCCAAGATGTTAAAGCTATCACTGCATTTCACACGTAACCTTTGCAAAAGGAAGAAACAATCCCACTTTATTTTTATTGTTGCAACAGAACTTAAAATATTACCTGTACAACCATAGACTAAGGAGGCCAAGGAAGCCCAGGGGAGACCTTTTCTTGCACCTTCAGGAGCTGGTTAGGTACACAGCTGCTCCTGAGGACCCTCTTCTTGTAGGGTCAGGAGGGGATCAGAGTAGAAAGCCCACCGAAGAGAGACTGGGGTTCAGCCTCTAACAGATGAAGGTCTATCCATCTTTACTGGAGACATTTAAAGCACAGCAACATTTAAGCCACTGATTTCAGACAGATCTGCCCTGCACAACAAGAGGACGTGAGCTACAATAAGGCAATACCGTACTGACTCAAAACGGGGGCATAGAAAATCCTGATCACATCCACTGGGCATCATGACATCTTCTTGGACATACAAGACTAGACATCTTTCGTTTGAAAAGGCTTTGGAAGTGCCAATACAGGAATGTGGGAGAGACCAGGCCAGCCGATTCCGACAGCCGTCTCCTCAAGAGGATACCGAGCATTTTGCAAATCAGAAGCAGCTTGGCTTGCTCGGTTTTATTTATTTATTTATTCATATTTATATAGATTTGTGCTGGAGGCAGCCCTGGTGAATCCCAAAAAGCTGGGTCAAGACAACACAGATACGCAGACACGCCCAGCGCTGCCTCCAACCACCTCGTTTAGAGCTAAGGCGACTTCATGGGAGAATAATGACATCTCGGGAAGAGGAAGCCTGACAAGAATTTAAAAATTATTTAGTAACTTTTACATAGATTCTACACTTGACGCTGTTTTTTTTCTCTCTGTTACGTTAGGCTTTAAGCCTTCTGCAAGAAAGTTAAACCCAAAGATTTATTTTGTGGAATTGAAGTTTCTTGTTTTATTTATTTCTTCTTCTCACTTAAAGGCCATTGTTGAAGCATTTTACAGTTCTCCTAGTGCAAAAGAACAGAAAAATAAGAAGCAGGAACATAAAAGGGAAAAAAAAGAAGAAAAAGAGGGGAAAATATGCTGCCTTTCTTCTCCTAGGCAATCCCCCCAAAACAGAGAAAGAAACGAGAATTGTAGGTGTTTTACGGCAACATATACACATTAAATATAGTATTGAGTCCATGCAGTGGTGCAGCCATGGTTAAAGAAGCCGGGGCTCCTGCTTTTAGTGCACTACAGTCCGTGTTCCTCACCAGCCGTGACCCCCACAGGCCCACGCCTGCCCCCTAGCCGGATTTGAAGAGGAGAATTGCCACTTGGCCCAAGTAGAAGTAAATGAAGTGCTTCGTCTCATGCGTTACGTAGCTGCCGAAGTTCCTGCCCACAATGCAGTGCCAAGTGGGGTTGTATTTCTTGTCAAATTCCTGAGGAATAAGCAAAAGCGGGAAGGAAAGGCGAAAATCAGTGACTTTGCAGCATCTTCAACAGGCAAAGCATTTTGTACGCTCACCAGGCCTTGCTCTTAGGGGAGGAAAAGTCAACATGGCGGCTGAAAAAGCCAGAACAGAGGCAATGGAGGCCCTGCCACGCAAGTAGGAATGGCGCACGGCTTTAACCGCACAGTAGAGGCCACCATCTTGACTTTTTGTACTACCCCTGGGCAAAGGCCTCTGTGGGGGTGACTGAAAAAAGTCAAAGCGGCAGCCACCACTGTTTGAGGTGGTGGGAGGTCCATCACTGTTTTATCTGCATTGCACTGATCACGTGCCATCAAGTTGATGTCAACTCTTAGCAACCACACAGATACTTTTTCTCCATAAATTGTCAATTGTTTTAAATTTCTTATCCATGTGGTTTTCTTGGTAAAAAATACAAGCAGATCTGGGCTCCCTCTGCCCCATAAACACTTTTAGAAAGTCTTTGGGGCCACCTCTAGAGTCAACCAAATGACATTTAGTATGATCCAAGGATATTATTGAAAACCTAGGGTGTGATTGCCTTATGGCGTGATTGCACCAACTCTATTTTTCTTTATTTCTTCAATTTATGAATTGAATGTTTTTCTTGACTACACCTTTCTTGGACAATGCTTCAAATATTGTTGGCTGCAATTCCCACAATCCCTTGCCCTGGGAAGATGGGTAGGCTAAGGGGAGGTGGAAACCCCAAAGATTTAACACCCAGCTGCCTGCCTCTGATCATTCAATACTTTACAGGGTAAAATCTCACACTGCATGACCTATAAGTTGTATCATACATGAGAAGCACACCCATTAGTTCAGACACTGTATTCTTTATCAGGTTAATCGCCCCCTTTGAATCCTAGGTATCAAGGGACTAGATATTCCCCTCCTTTCCATCTACCACAGTTTCTCAGGAAATTTACATCCCTTTTCCATTTAATGCATCAGTGTTTTCCCTGACCGGTGTGAATTCTCCACAAACTGAGTTCACGTTGCACTAACCCATAGCACGTCAAACAACTTCTCACCCCAAACCCACATTTTAAATAGTATTTTTACTTCTGCTTCTCCTTGAAATAATTAAATATGCATGACCGTTCCCCACCGCCCCCCCCCATTCCTTATTCCACCGTGATTTGATCAAGTTACAGGCTTCATAAAAAACCCTTTAAGAGCAACTGCACAGAACTTATAGGTATTCATCAAGTTCCTGTCTCTGGAAGATCTGACCATCCCTAAGCTCAGAACACAACTGGAGTAATAAAGGTTCCACTCCACGATACACTTCATTCTGCTCCGCCAACTCCAAAGGAACAAAGCACGACTCCAGTGACGCGTCATCCTCTAGCACTGTAGTGGAGGCAACCAGCCGTCTGATTATCAGGAGCCGCTTCTGACATGGGGGGGTGGGGGGGTGGGTAAGGAGTACAGTAAGGCAATAACGCCAATTCAACAGGGCCATCGGACGCCTATCATTCCTGAGCAGGGATCAATCCCATTTTGGAATTTGTATTAGAGAGTTTGCAAAAGACTCCTGCTGCAAAAAAAGGCCAGTGCCACATTTTTAAGCAATCTGGGGGCCTCAGAAATGAGGCCTAGACAGGGTAAGTTGCCTGAGAGAGAGGAGAGGCTGGCTAAATCACCTTGATGCATTAACATTTAAATACACGGTTTTATTTTTCATAGGGTGAAAAGTTAGTCTGATGTGTAACCAGATATCTAGGCCTGAACAGCAACTAGTACTTATAAGGACTCTACTGAGCAGAACCCTGCCAATGTAATGTTTCTTCTCTCCAAGCGTAGAGGGACTGGGGGCTTTTAAGGGTTTAAATATTCACAGAGAAGGCCTCAAACACATAGAAAGGCTTAACAACTCTTTGGAGCAAACATCTCACACCTTGGCTACGACTCTGACTTTATATTTTGAATGAAGAGTCTTAAGCATCTTCTATCCTTTTTATTTAGGCACAATTTTGCAACACATGGGAAAATTGTTGCACTTACAAGTGCTATAAAATAGATGCACCACATAAATATTTAGAGTGCCACCTTTTCCATTTAATCAGGCATATGTTCATTTAAAAAAATATGCATCATTGGTTCATAAAGTGAATTTCATGAGTTAAATTAATACATCGCTCTAAGCCAGTGATTCTCAACCTGGCAACTTAAGACGTGTGGACTTCAACTCCCAGAATTCTCCAGCCAGCCATGGTGAATTCTCCAGCCAATTCCTGCTGAAGAATTGGAGACTGCTAGCTGAGGAATTCTGGGAGTTGAAGTCCACACAGCTTCAAGTCGCCAGGTTGAGAAACACTGCTCTAAGCCAAATTATGGCTGGTTTCAATTTCACATATTGCCTGAGTCCAAACACTGTGATCTAGAAATCATGATTTTTGGTTTAGTATATGTAAATCCCAGCCAATAGTAACCTATGCCACAATCACAGTTAAACAAACAATGATTCAGTTCTGTGTGAAATCAGTTTTAACTTCTGTGCTCTTCCTAGAATGAAGGTTTTGTAAAAGGGATTAGCAATTTGCAGACAGAGACTCGCCTGATTTTTCTTTTTTTAAATCTGGTACACTATTCTTTACTAATGCAGTCCTGGCCCTTCTACACACCCATTTCCAGTTTTTTCCCCCCATACCCTGAGGTCATTCCTTGTTCAATTTCTTTTCCAAATCTATAGAGAGAGGCAGTTAACTGCACCTAAAGTTATCCTTGTTCCCCAATCCATTAGCACATTCACTCTTCCAAAAAGGTTTTAACAATTCTTTTAGATCATGTTCCAGTAGAAAGAATCACTTAAAAAAAACTATGGCCTTTTAATGTTTCCCTTTGTTTTATTGAACAACTTTGAATTAAAAAAAAACATTAAAAGTAGAACACAACATTAAGCCTTCCAATTCAGAGACAGACCCAGATAAAGCATTTGCTTTCTAGGGAGAAGGTCCCTAGTTTGATTCCTGGTATCTCCAGGGAAGAAACTCTTGTCTGAAATCTGCTATCAACAGCGCACACAGAATTAGACAGGCCAATTCAAACTTGGCAACTTTTAAGATGTGTGGACTTCAACTCCCAGAATTCCCCCAGCCCACACATCTTAAAAGTTGCCAAGTTTGAAAAACACTGGTTTACTGTAGGATTCCTTGCCTAAGGAAATCACAGCTTGCGATGGGTGAACTTCACTTTTATAACAACCAGGGAGAACCTTCTAAATCAACTATATCAGCTGCAGAAAAGTGTAAATGCTTATAAAACGTGCTTCAGGCTTTTCCAGAAGTGTCTGGCTGGCACTGGGTGAGATAAGCTAGTAGGGCAGTGTTGTCCAAAGTTGGCCACTTTAAGATGAGTGGACTTCAACTCCCAGAATTCTCCAGCCAGCC